CTTTACGGCGTTTCGCCTTACGGCGTTCCGCTAATATGGCGATGTCAAATTATGACCAAAATTTGCTATACGGCAAGCGGTCTTTCAAATATGGCGCCCCCACCCGGTTTGTTTACATTTTTCGTGACCACATCTATTATGTCAGGAAACTTTCCAAAATTTCAAGTGTTTTAAAGTTACTGCATATTTTATATGTACTCGGATAATTATACTTAAGTGTACCTGTACCTAAATAACTTACACACTATGCTGGTGTGCAGGTACACATTAAAATAGCTAAGTCTCTCTCTACTCATGACACCAATACTACGTATTAATAATCACTCTTGGGCACACTAAATGTCTTATTTTACATTAATATAGGCATTTTCATTAATCCATCTATGATATTTTCCTCAAAATTATATATGAAACCCATTACATAGCATATAAACATGATACATACACTCAGAATAGAAATTGATGTAAATATGAGATTTGTTTACAAAGCAGCTGTGTAGGTAGTTCGGAAGAATTACGTTTTCTCTAGTCAAACTGGGGGAAAACTGTAGAAAAATATTTTTTTCGTATGCCTTTACTCTATGTATAGCAATTCACGACCCTTGTGGGTTTAGTGCTTTTTATAATAAATAATAATAATAATATTATTTTTTTTTTTTTTTCAACAAGTCGGCCGTCTCCCACCGAGGCAGGGTGACCCAAAAAAGAAAGAAAATCCCCAAAAAGAAAATACTTTCTTCATCATTCAACACACACACACAAATAACCCGCACATAAAAGAGAGAAGCTTACGACGACGTTTCGGTCCGACTTGGACCATTGACAAAGTCACACTAACAGAGGTGGAGCAGGACCGAAACGTCGTCGTAAGCTTCTCTCTTTTATGTGCGGGTTATTTGTGTATTGTTCCAGTCACGGTATTGTGCCTTTTTGTTATTTATTTATCATTCAACACTTTCACCACACTCACACATTACCACTGCTTTTGCAGAGGTGCTCAGAATACAACAGTTCAGAAGCATATACGTATAAAGATACACAACATATCCCTCCAAACTGCCAATATCCCAAACCCCTCCTTTAAAGTGCAGGCATTGTACTTCCCATTTCCAGGACTCAAGTCCGACTATATGAAAATAACTGGTTTCCCTGAATCCCTTCACTAAATATTACCCTGCTCACACTCCAACAGATCGTCAGGTCCCAAGTATCATTCGCCTCCATTCACTCCTATCTAATACGCTCGCTGGAAGTCCAAGCCCCTAGCCCACAAAACCTCCTTTACCCCCTCTCTCCAACCCTTTTGAGGACGACCCCTACCCCGCCTTCCTTCCCCTATAGATTTATATGCTTTCCATGTCATTCTACTTTGATCCATTCTCTCTAAATGACCATACCACCTCAACAACCCCTCTTCTGCCCTCTGACTAATGCTTTTATTAACTCCACACCTTCTCCTAATTTCCACACTCTGAATTTTCTGCATAATATTTACACCACACATTGCCCTTAGACAGGACATCTCCACTGCCTCCAACCGTCTCCTTGCTGCTGCATTTACCACCCAAGCTTCACATCCATATAAGAGTGTTGGTACTACTATACTTTCATACATTCCCTTCTTTGCCTCCATAGATAACGTTTTTTGACTCCACATGTACCTCAACGCACCAATATTATTATATTATTATTATTAATATTAATATTATTATCTTCATTCACTCTAAAAATGGTGTGTTGCTGTTTGTTTATTCTGAACTAACTTGTACAACTTGTACAAAATGTAAGAGTATTTGTATTGTGAGGTAATTATTTATTTATTTTTTTTTTCAACAAGTCGGCCGTCTCCCACCGAGGCAGGGTGACCCAAAAAAGAAAGAAAATCCCCAAAAAGAAAATACATTCATCATCATTCAACACTTTCACCACACTCACACATTACATGTATCACTGCTTTTGCAGAGGTAATTATTATTAAAATAAAAAAATATTGAGATAAATGTTTTACAAACTCTTACAAATGGACGTGAATGAACTAAAAGTGGACACATATTAATACGCATTTATTTCGCCTGACCAAGTGATCGTCCACTACCTGTTCAGTTTGTGTTCTTACATTGTCTCAACTCTGTATCTCGTTCTCTCTCTCTCGTTTACTTTTTCATTAACTAGTTGGCTCTCATTGACGATGGCGTCTAAGGTTAGCTGTAATAAAAAGAGAAGTCGTAAGCCTCTTGCTTTAAGTGCCAAGTTAGAGGATGACGGTGTGCCATTCTGATTTTATTCAATAAACACCCTGCCACTCACCTCTCACACATTAGTATTAATATTTTAAGGTAAGTAATAAGTGTACTCTGTGTGTATCTTACTTTTTATTGTGTTTTTAATGCCTATTTCTATTGCTAACTTAATATAAGTTAGTGTAAACTTGTTGTCTAGCATTTATTGCATATTTTATATGCTCTGATAATAATACTTGTGGAGCCGGATGGAGGGACAACATTACGTTTTCTCTGTTCAGCCATCAGAGAAAACGTGTATGAATCTGCGTTTGGCCAGCCACTCCCCCACTCCGCTTTTGTTTACAATTTTCGGCATGAATTATTCATTACTTCTACCTTCGTTTATGATGGCATCTAAAGGTAGTTGTTAGAAATGATTAAATTCAGTGAACAAGGCATGTCGATGTTAATAATATGGCTCTGGGCCACAGTATAGGTAGCCGGTAGGTGTAGCCCAGGCGGGCTACACCTACCGGCTACATACACTGAATTTCTACAAATAAATACTACTCACCTCTGTTCCTATATTAAGACTACACATATTTTAAGGTAAATAATGAGTGTACTGTATGTGTATTTTACCTCTCTGGGATGTTTTAAATATCGTATATTAAGTATGAGATGGGGAGCCAGGGCTACCTACACCTGGGCTACCTGCACCTGACTTCCTACAAATAAGTACTACTCACCTCTCTCCCTACATTAAGATTACAAATACTTTAAGATAAGTAATGAATTTACTGTCACTGTATTTTACTTTGTGTGTTTTTAATGCCTAGTTCTATTACTAACTTAATATAATTTAGTGTAAACTTGTTGTCTGGCATTTATATGCATTTATTAATTTAAAAAAATGGCGTTCTGCCTTCCGGCGATGTCTGCTTTCTGGTGACAGCCTGGAACCTAACCCGCCATATAAGTGGGGCCCTACTGCATATTATAGCAACTGGAAGGAAGTAAGGAAGGAAGGAAAGAATGAAGAGAGAAAGAACGAAGAAAGAAAGAAGGAAAGAAAGGTAGGAAGGAATGATGACACATGACCATTTACCTAGGATAACTACCTAATACAACTGCCTGCTAATACTTTGAAGAAAACTGCTCAGACGAGGTGTTTTGTCTGTGCACATACAAAAAAAACACCCACAAAAATGCAGAGACACTTGTTTTATGTGTGAGGAGTGTAAAACACCATTGTGTATGAAACCATGTTTCAAAGTGTTCCACAAGCTGCAGAACTTCTAGGAACATGTCCAGTGGCTGTACATTTGTATATATATTATAGAACAATAGTAATAAAAAAAATTTTGTATTTGTGTAAACAAGTTTTGTAAACAATATATTGATAATTATATTTGTGCGCTTATTGTGTTGTATACAACGAGTGTATATATGTACATTGCACCTTACTTTGGTCTCACAGGCAACATAAGTTACCTGAAAAAATAAAGTACATGTAGTGGAAAAAGCAAGAAACCTTCGAATGGGAGTAAAAAAAAGTTTACCAGGTGAGTGGCATTCGCCGCTGTTGCCATACATGGCTCATTTTCTGCCAACTTTACGCCTCAATATCTTGGTAAGTAATGATCACAAAAATTTTGTTTATTCTTAAAACATTCAGCAAAATAATCCTAACTTTTTGGCAAGAAAATTTTTTTTTTTTTTATTTTTCGAATATTTTTCAACATGGAATGACAGTTTTAGAAATGGGCTTGCGACAGTCAAAGAGTTAAGTATACACAAATAAAGTTACATAGACTATCATAAATAGCAGCATGTGCTTGGAGACCTAGGATAATCCAAATAAGTCAGACAGACTTATTTCCATTAGGGTCCCTGTACCATATGGTACATTGTTCCGTATGATACTATTGTATGATATGGCACCATTGTACCATATGGTACCAATGTACCATATGTACCATATGGTACCATATGTACCATATGGTACAGTATGTACCATATGGTACCATATATACCATATAGTACCATATGGTACATTGTACCATATGGTACAATGTACCATATGGTTCAAAACCATAGAATTTCTCTTCAGATCCACTTCCATCAGTTTTAGAACTATAAGTTGGGAAGAAGAGAGTCAGAATTCGCCCAGGGAGGGAGAGCTTCCTTGCCGCCAGGCATGGTGAACAAAGCTACTTTGGCGGCGTTCTCACAATACCATGTGGGGGTCCAGATTTTTTCTATAGTGTGCACACTGACCACCCATACCCATTCTCTTAGATGTAGGCCTACCAGCCTTCTTGAGCTAAATTTGAGGCCGCTAGAATTTTGGCATAGTTCTATAGTTTGGACCCACAACTCAAAGCTGTAGAACCACGGCATGGACCCTGAAAGGGTTAACATTGCTGTGATCCTCAAATGTCAGAACTTCTGACATAACCACTCCTATGTTTTTCACATTAATCTTCTGCTCTTCTATTTGACTTGAGTTTATTTTATACTCAAACAGCTTTTATTTTCTCAATTTTTCTTTAGCAAAAGTAGCTTAAATTTGCCCTCAGTGAACATCATATTGTTTTCTGTGCCCACTGGAAGACTTGGTGTATATTAGCTATTATATTTGCTATGCCCTCATTGGATGCCATGCCAATACATATTCTAATATTGTCTTGACACTGTACGAGTACTGTTATGTAATCAAAGTAAACAGTGAGAAAGTTTGAAGACCTGTAATGTTAGTAAAATATTTTGTTTTAGTGTACCATCAGAAGGCAATGGAGATAGCTGCCATGGAGATCAAGAATATGGAAAAAAAATCCAAGTCGGAATCATGTGAGCAGAGAAAGGAATGTGATCTTTCACCTGAGCTTTTCCAAGAAAACGATGATGTTTCTATCATAGACGACGTAAGGTAAGTCACAGATATGAATTTCCAATCCTCTGCCATTATGCATCAGTTAATTCTCTTGTTGTTTTATGTACTTAATTTTCTGGTGACAACCACGTTCTTAGCAGTGACTCTCGTGTTCCTTTCTTTGTCTGATTCCTTCAATGTGTGACTGGTTTTCACTCAAAACTATTAATATTACATGGCATATACAGGCACTCCTCACTTAATGACCAAGTTCCTTTCCTATGACTAGGGTAGTGCTCCCTCATTTGGAATGTTGCTCAGTGATGACGACCCTGTTCAGAGCATAAGAAATATCAGAGCCAGAACAAATACCAAGATTGTTTATGACACACACAGAGCCAGTAAAGCATTTAAATTACTGGGAGGTATACCCTCTTTTAGGAGTGAAGAAGAGCAGGACGTGAGTGAGGCATTACGTAGAATGAAAGGGGGTAAAGCAGCTGGAACTTATGGGATCATGACAGAAATGTTAAAAGCAGGGGGGGGATATAGTGCTGGAGTGATTGGTATTTTTGTTTAATAAATGTATGAAAGAGGGGAAGGTACCTAGGGATTGGCAGAGAGCATGTATAGTTCCTTTATATAAAGGGAAGGGGGACAAAAGAGATTGTAAAAATTATAGAGGAATAAGTTTACCGAGTTTACCAGGAAAAGTGTACGGTAGAGTTATTATTGAAAGAATTAGAGGTAACACAGAATGTAGGGTTGCAGATGAGCAAGGAGGTTTTAGGGTGGGTAGGGGATGTGTAGATCAAGTGTTTATTTACATTTAACATAAAAACATAAGAAAGAAGAAACACTGCAACAGGCCTACTGACCCATGCGGAGCAGGTGCATGCCACCCCCCCGAATTAGCCCAGTGACCCACCCAATCTGGTCACCTTCACTCAAGGAAGGAGCACGGCACCAGACCCAGCAGCACAAGCTAGTCCGGTCCAACACGCACCCACTTGTGTATTTATCTAACCTATTTTTAAAACTACACAACGTTTTAGCCTCAATAACTGTACTCGGGAGTTTGTTCCACTCATCCACAACTCTATTACCAAACCAGTGCTTTCCTATATCCTTCCTGAATCTGAATTTTTCCAACTTGAAACCATTGCTGCAAGTCCTGTCTTGGCTGGAAATTTTCAGCACGCTATTTACATCCCCTTTATTTATTCCTGTTTTCCGTTTATACACCTCGATCATATCCTCCCTAATTCTATGCCTTTTGAGAGAGTGCAGATGAAGGGCCCTCAGTCTATCCTCATAGGGAAGATTTCTGATACATGGGATCATCTTTGTCATCCTCCTCTGTACATTTTGCAGAGCATTTATATCTATTCTGTAATACAGTGACCAGAACTGAGCAGCATAGTCTAAATGAGGCCTAACCAAGGATATATAGAGTTGAAGAACTACTTGAGGACTTCTATTACTTATACTTCTAGATATGAAGCCAAGAATTCTGTTAGTTTTATTGTGAACACTAATGCACTGTTGTCTTGGTTTTAGATTACTGCTAACCAGAACTCCTAAATCCTTTTTGCAGTCAGTAGTATTAAGATCTACATTATTTAGTTTATATGTTGCATGGTTATTTTCCTGTCCAACATTTAGAACTTTGCATTTGTCTATATTAAACTGCATCTGCCACTTCTCCAACTATTGCATCAGTCTATTCAAATCATCCTGGAGTGCTCTAGTGTCCTCATTAGAATGAATTGGACGGCCTATTTTGGTGTCATCAGCAAATTTGCTATGTCGCTATTTATTTCCTCATGTATGTCGTTTATGTAAATTGTGAACAACAACGGGCCCAACATTGAACCCTGAGGAACACCGCTTGTGGCGTGCCCCCATTCTGATTTCTCCCCATTTATGCAAACTCTCTGCTGTCTATTTGTCAGCCATGCCTCTACCCAGGAAAAAATTTCTCATATTCCGTGTGCCTTAGGTTTCCTCAATAGCCTCTGATGTGGAACTCTACCGAAAGCCTTACTGAAGTCCATATACACAATATAATATTCATTACCATGATCTTCCTCCTCAAACACCTTAGTGAAAATTGTTAGTAAATTCGTAAGACAGGAACGCCCCTTTGTAAAACCGTGTTGACACATTAATTTGTGTGAAATTGGACAAATTGCCAATTTCTGACCACTTTATTGGGTAGTTCAAATTGGTAAATGGGCAGTTTCTTGTACTCAACTGATAGAAAAAATGGAGTTATAAAGAAATAGCTATGAGTTTCGTCAACTGGAACAACGGAATTGGTCAAAAACAGAGCTCAAAGCCGGCGAAATCGCTGATGCGTATATGTTGCTGAGCCTGCTAACTTCGTGGGAGCGTAACTCCGTGAGTTTTTTACCAAATTTCGTACTTTTGGTGTCATTACCATCGGGAAAAGATTCTCTATCATTTCATAAGAAAAAAATAATTTTTTCCCCAAAATTTTGTGACAGTCAAAGGGTTAAAACATTTGCAGTCTTAATCTAGGGTGAGATGAGTAGTATTTATTTTAAGAAATCATATCTAAACCTACAAGAATCACCGAGACAAGTATCTCCTTAATAGACCACATCTGGACAAACACCATATCCCTTTAAAAAAAGGCATAATCACAGACAACACTACAGACCACTACCCAACCTTTCTCATAACTAATCTGGGCAAACTACCACAAGACATTACTAAAGTAATTTTCAGACTACATAACGAGACAGCTGTTAACAACTGTATAGCAGCTATGAATAACATCGACTGGCAAAATGAGCTCGAAACATATACAGATATGAATGACTGTATAAATAATTTTCTAAAAAAAAGCTCAATGCCTCTACAGCAAACATTGCCCCCAGAAAACTAAACAGATCACAGCAAAGAGACTGAGTAGTCCACACCCAGCATCCTCAAATCCATTAACACAAAGCACAAATAAGAAAAACAGTATAGAATGGGTCAGATAACCAGAGAGCAGTCTAAACATTACTCGTCATCTCTTACCAACTTGATAAGAAGATCGAAAATTTTTTATTATGAAAATGGATTACAAAACATCGAAGGTAATATGAAAAAAACCTGGAAAACTCTAGCTGAAATTCTTGGAACTAAAAAGTTATCCAAAAACAAAACAATCAAACTAACAAAATCAGATGAACCCCTACTCACACCAACTGAAACAGCAAACAGACTCAATGTTTTCTTCTCCACCATAGGACATGGGAAAAAATCTAGCCTATAAAATACCAAGCTCAAACACCCATCCATCAGACTACCTCATGGGTACCTACCCAAATACACTATTCCTAGCGCCAACCAACCCACTAGAAATCTCGCTCATCATCAACACCCTTAAAAATAAGGCAGGAGACATAAACAACTTGCCTGCTTTTATGTACAAAAAAGCTTCTCAAGTATTGTCACCAATTATTGCAACTCTCTCTAACAAATCCACTGAATCATCTACCTTCCCAACAATCCTCAAAATAGCGAGGCTCACTCCGATCCATAAAGGAGGTGACCAAGCTGACTTGAAAAACTATAGACCAATATCTAACTTACCACTGCTCTCTAAAATCTTCGAAAAATTAATTCATAGACGGATCTATTCCTATCTTGTCTCACACAACATATTAAACCCTTGTCAGTTTGGATTAAGGAATAATAAAAGCACAAATGATGCTATCTCACACATGCTAGAACTAATATATACTGCACTCGAAAAGAAAGAAGTCCCGCTTGGCATTTTCATTGATTTATGTAAAGCTTTTGATACAGTCGACCATGAACTGCTGTACTCCAAATTAATGCACTATGGTATCAGAGGCCACTCCCTCAACTACCTAAAGCCATACCTTAGTAACAGAACTCAATATGTGTATGCAAATGGTGCAAACTCTTCCACCCAAACAATCACAGTAGGAGTCCCACAAGGAAGTGTCCTTGGACCACTCCTCTTTCTCATTTACATCAATGATCTACCGAATGCATCACAGCTACTCAAACCCATATTATTTGCAGATGACACTACATCTTCTTCCACCCACACCCAGTCTTACTAGCAAACACTGTCAATGACAAATTGCAGAAAATATCTGCCTGGATGATGACTAATAAACTTAACCTGAATACTGATAAAACCTATTTCATTCAGTTTGGAAACAAAGCTGCAAATGCTCCAATTAACATAATGCTAAAGGAATCATCAGTCACAAGACTTACAGAGGGAAAATTCCTAGGTATCCACCTTGACAGTAGCCTTAAGTTCCAGACACACATACAACAAATCACCAAGAAAATCTCTAAGACTATAGGCATACTATCAAAGATAAGGTACTACATTCCACAGTCAGCTCTCTTATCACTCCTATGGAATTTGTGCATGGGGATCAACAACATTCAGTCACCTAAGACCTCTAATAACCCAGCAAAAGGCAGCAGTCAGAATGATAACAAACTCCCACTCTTGCCAGCATACTCCACCAATTTTCAAAAGTCTGAATCTGCTCACCATTAAGAACATCCATACTTATCCATGTGCCTACTACAAACACAGAACAATACATGAAAATATAAACCCTTCACTCAAACTTCCCTTCACCAACCTTAGCAGGACACATGACTATAACACAAGACACAGATCTCTTTTTGATGTACCCCGTGTCCATATCACACTGTGTAAAAACTCTATGCACATAAAGGGCCCCAAAATATGGAACTCATTACCAGAAGATACTAAAGTAACCTGGTCTGAAAATAAATTTAACACTCTTCTCAAGAGCCACTTAATCACCCTAGACTTAATGCTAAATACTCAGTACACACATACTCACTTATGTATTCCCGTATCATAATTTCAACATTTACTTTGAACCTTTCATCCATTGTTGACAGGAATATAATTGAATCATTGTTTTCACGAAAAGCATTTTTGAATATGTGAATATATCTTTTGTCTTATATAAATTAGATTCACTTATAATTAATAATCTACTGTACAACTATGATGT